CATCATGTACAGGCCTAGTGTACCCGCCCACATTCCCTGTGGTTGATGGGAACTGTAGTTTCCTTTTGCTGCAGAGAGAAAGAGCGAGGAGAGGATGTGATGTGTGATATGATATATGATGTAATCCCCGCTGTTACACCTCCTCCTCAGAACAGATGCTGTTATCTTTTGAATTACAGAGATGAGATTAAAAAAATTCAATTCAACTTTTCTACTAAATGGTAAGGATTTTCAAAATGTTATTAACTGTTTAGTGTTTTGTGTAGGGGAGTGTATTAACCACTACCCATCCACACTATAGCAGTAATACTGCTACAGGGCGGCAAGGGTGAGCAAAATCACGCATATATACATGATTTGGCATTTCCGGGTTGGGGGTGCGCATTAGCTGCGCACGAGCCCTACCCACGCCGCTATTCGCAGCCTGGGCTGTCAATCACCGAGTCTCAGCCGGTGATTACTTGGCAGCACCAGGTGATCAGGGAGCTTTACCCACGGAGGGAGAAAACTGAAAGTAAACAATACAGTTCTTTCCCCTGTCAGCTCCTACACACTACTATGCATGGCTTTGCATAGCAGTGTGCTTACAGTGAAGCACACGCACACAGTAAAACAGCACACAGTTAACCCTTTGATTGTCCCACATGTTAACCCCTTCCTGCCCAGTGCCATTAGGACAGTGTCAGTGCTTTTTATTATTATTATTATTCAGGACTTATATAGCGCCGACAGTTTGCTCAGCGCTTTACATAATGGAGGGAGGCAGTACAGTAACAATACAGTTCAATACATGAGGGATTAGAGGGCCCTGCTCCTTGGAGCTTACAATCTAGGAGGGGGGGATAGTGGTACAAGAGGTAATTAGCTGTGGGGGATGGAGTGGTAGGAAGAATAGAGGATTCCAATATTAGCAGGGGTTGGGGTAGGCTTCCCTGAAGAGATGGGTTTTTTTAGAGTGCGCCTAAAAGTGTATTGGTGTCACTGAGGATGTCAGTGACACCAAGTCAGTTCCCCCCAGTGTCAGAATGCCTGCCACAGTCCCTCTGTAAGTCACTCATTGCCACCATTACTAGTAAAAATGAAAAAAAAAAAAATCCCAGTATATATACCGCATTTGTAAACGCTATAACTTTCACATAAACCAATTAATTTACACATATTGGGATTTGTTTTAGCAAAGACATGGAGCAGAATACATTTTGGCCTAAATTTATGACGAAATCTGATTTTTTAAAATGTTTTTATTGGGCATATTTAATAGCAAGAAGTCAAAAAAAGTTTTTTTTTCAAAATTGTTGGTTTTATTTTTATAGCGTAAAAAATTTAAAAATACAGAGGCGATCAAATACCACTGAAATAAAGCTCTATTTGTGGGGAAAAAAGGACATAAATTTAATTTGGGTGCAGCCTTGCATGACCGCGCAATTGTCGGTAAGGGCTTGTTCACACACTTGACTTTATTTCTAACTCTTGCCAAACACCCCTATAGCAGGAAGCTGTTTCTGGTTGAACGGAAAAAAAAAAAAAGAATTATCTATGGAAGATGGATGATCACACTCTAGCTACCCACACACCTTATTGTTTAAAGCAAGGGCCCCCAAACTTTTCAGTACAAGGACCACACTGTATATTTTACAAATAATCATAGGCTGATATAAACAAATCAAATTTAATAGAATATTTAACTTGGAGTTCTTTTTTTAATTAGCATGATACGATTTAGAGCAGTGGTCTACAAACTGCAGCCCGGGGCCAGATATGGCCCTTGTCTTGCCTTCACCTGGCCCTTGGGGCACTATTCCACCAACTGACACATCTATGAGGCACCCACTGACAGCATTGATGGGGCACTATTTTTCCCATTGATATAAACAATGGGGCACTATTCCTTCCATTCAAACCAATGATGGAGCATTGCTTATGCCCACTGATGCCAGGGCATTTTCTGTTCTCACTGGTCACAGTTCAGCCCCCCTAAAGTCTGAAGGGCAGTAACCTTGCCCTTTGCTTAAAAAGCTTGGAGACCCCTGAAATAGAGCAACAAAGTGAAAACATTAGTAAAACAAAAAAATGAACATGAAACCATCAATTCCCCCCCCCCCCCCGACTGATGTCCCCATCAGTCATTCCTTATATCAGGGTGCCCATCAGTCCCTCCTTACATCAGAGTCCCCATCAATCCCCTTCTTATCCCCTTCTTATATCATGGTGCCTATTACAGCCCCGCTCCCGACATCAGAGGGCTACATTAAAAAAGACCAATCAACTAGGAAAATCCAAATTGGTTGTTTGCTTTTTCACTAAGGCCATAGAGGCCATAGACAGTGCAAATTTCTTTTCTACAACCTGTAGTGTGGACATGGGGAATCCCTCCCGCTGAGTTATTGTGTTCTTCCAGCATGGGGGAAGCCAACCCCGCCAGAAAAAACAGTGAGTATATCTACCAATAATTGTATGTAGAATCTGGTAGGCTGGTTGTACCCAAATTGATTGATCATTCACTTCAGCCTGCCCATACTTGGTAAGAATCTTGGCTGGTTCAGCAGGATTCAAACCGACTATGGCCGATTTAAGTGGAGTTGGCCATGTAATGTGCTGCCTAATGTACAGTAACTGTATCAATAATTTAATCAGTCGGCTAAATGAAATAATTAAACCAGCATCCCCATCCACACACTTGAGGTGGATAGGGGAATCCTCCCCACTGTGTAATTTTATAGTATACTGTTCAGCTCTACAGACAACTGGCTGCAAACGATGATCGAATGGAAATTTTCCAGCAGGACCATTCATGAGAAGTCGATTGATAGATCGACTTCTCTTGAATAGGAATGACCATAGATGGATCGAAATTTGGCTGGTTCCTGCTGAACCATCAGAATTTTGATCTATGTATGGCCAGCTTAAAGTGGTATTAAAGGTTCAGATTTTTTTTTAAAATAACAAATATGTCATACTTACCTGCTCTGTGCAATAGTTTTGCACAGAACAGCTCTGATCCTCTTCTTCTTGGGTCCCCCGCTGATGGCCCTGGCTCCTCCCCCTTGACCAGTGCCCCCAGAAGCAAGCCGCTTGCAATGGGGGCACAGATGCGTGCTCGCTATGGAGCCCAACTCTATGCTTCTGCAAGAAACATAGAGCCATGGCGCAGCCCCACCCCTGCTTTCTCCTTATTGGCTCACTAGCTGTGACTGACAGCCGAGGCTGTTGTGCACATCACTGGATCGAGAGGAGGCTCCGTTGAGTATTGGGAGGGCTGTGGGGGGAGCAGCACACAGAATATTTTTTTCTATGCATGAAGGTAAAAAACTTCTGCCTTTACAATCACTTTAGGAGATACTGGGGTTAACTTACTAAAGAGTTTGCAAAGATACGTGCAAAGAATATAAAAAAACTGTATTTTTGAATGATGGAAGTCAGAAGATCTTCTCATTCACTGAGCTAAGGGCTAATTCCCTTGCAAAGTAAATAGCCTCTTTGTCTTTAGTAAATTATTTCCCATTGGCTAGATGTAGTACCCATAGTGGCAAATCAGAATGTGAACCCTGAACTGTTCTGTCTTCTGGAAAGCAAACTGTAACATATTGCTATTGGCTCCGCCCTTTGCTCCTTGCTCTTAGCAGTTTATAAGAAAGCCTTTTTCAAAGAATAGTAGGTTGCAATTATAACAATACAGTAAATATTTCTAACAAAATATGAATGTATAGTAAAATAATGATGGTAATATCTTGGTTCATTAAATGTAGACTAATAATGACTACTGCTTCAGAATACGATATTAGCATAATATGTTAATAATATATTATAACATTAAAACATGTAATTAAGAAAATATGGAAAAAGAGCAAATACCTATAATTTGTGCCATTCAGGAGGTATTTGTGCTTTTTCCATTTTTCTTCATTATTTGTCTTGTTTGCAAGACAAATAATTGAGAGCTGCAGTACCTCTGCTGTTATCTATATATGTTAGTTGGTGTGCCTGTGAATTATTAGTTTTCTGGGATTTAAACATGTCACTCGCCTATTTATATATATTATTTTTTGCATTTTATAGTACCAGATTGATGATCATTGCTTAGTTTTGAAATGCTTTTTTTTAAATGATATTACATTGTTTTGTCATTTATCCTTGTTATCTTATGCTGAGTGCCGCATGTATTGCTCATAGTAGGGATATACTAGGTGGTGCATTGGGAAGTTTAGTAAAAACTCTTATACTAACATCCGATTGACACTTTTGACTTATCGACAGAATTACAAGAATGTAGGAAAATACAGTTTAATATATTGATAATGATGACAAAGTCTAAAAAATAGGAAATTTACTATATTCTGTAAAAATTTTTGAGAGTACTATGTAACTCCTCTATGACGGTCTTCATCTCTCACGGTCTGATAAAGACACATTAAGTAAGAAAGTTAGCAGTTGTCATGTATGTAATAATTGTTCCCACCACACATAAGGAGTGCACTGTAGCATCAATTAGAGACATAAGGAGACAAATTTCACACTTTTGCAAATGGGGCTCACTTTCCCAGAGACCCCCTGCATGTGACCCTTTCAAAAGGCTGAAGATTTTGACACATCTCTGGTCCTGGGAAGAAGACTCCTCACACCTCTGGATTCTGTATAAAAGCCTAGGTAAGCTCAGCACTTTCATTAGTTGGCTAGCTGTCAAGCAAGGACATAGCTTTGGGAGAAGAACCAGATAGACCACCCTATTCCATATGATGCCTCAAGACCGCTCTTTTCTCTCTGAGTGGGTCTATCCCTCTTCAGACTCACACTCTCCAGCTTCTTCAACAGAGTCCTTCCTACTGTCCCCTAGCTATCCTCATCCAGCCACGCATCAGGAAATCTATGCCAATTATCTTCAAGATCCAATGGTCAACATTGCCTGTCACCGGACAGAGAAATCTCCTCTGACTTCCAGAAGAACAAGATGCAAAGTAGTTGGTCCTCAAAGACAGAGTGCCAGCGAGCGGGAGAAGTTGAGGATGAGGAACCTGTCCAAGGCACTTCATAACCTGAGGAAATATCTGCCACCCTCTGTGGTGCCAGCTGGGCGTAATCTAACCAAGATCGAAACCTTGAGATTGACTATAAATTACATTTCATATCTGTCAAAACTGCTTGGCTGTAATGAAGAGACTATGAAGCACAGAAGAAAGCCTCATCAAGATGTGGATTCTGCCTATCTACAGGTACCTGAGGGGTACCAAGAAATGACATGCAGACAACAACACAGCCAGCCACAGTCCCAAAGTTCACTCTCCTATGACCAAGCACAACAATGCGAGAGCTTTAGAGTTTCCCCAGCAGAAGATGAACAATCCCAGATACAAGGAGAACCATGGATGTCAACATCAACATATCACAGAAGTCATAAACCCCTCACTGACTTCAGCTTATCAACTACCTATACCTCAAGGTTTACAAACACATACCAGGTAACGTGATTTTACTTGCTTCATAGTGAATATAGTTAAGGCTCATTCACAACTTTTTTACATTAAAAGAGAAGTATGGCCAAAGCTTTTTTGGCTATACTTCTCCAATGGATCACAGGAGTTCCGTTAATTCTGCTCTCCTGTGACCCGTGTTCAGCCAACAGTGGGCTAAAGCAGGGATGTCTTAATGCATGGGCTGCCCTGGGCAGTGCCCAGGGGCCCCAGGTGCATGGGGCTCCATGATAATTTTTCATTACACCATACTTGCCAACTGTTCCGAATTTGCCAGGATAGTCATGGTTTTACTAAGCTGTCTTGGGATGGCTGTGTCCAGGGCAGCATCCTGAAGCCTGTACTGTGCCCTCAAGATCTCATTATCTTGAACTCTTCTACCCCCCTCCTATACTGTGCCCTTTGTGTTGATTAGTCTTTGATTTATGGCACCTTTTCTTATTGTCTAAAATTGATTTTGTTAAAAGTACTAATAAATATAGGTTTCATTCTAGCAACTATTTATATTTTAATTCTTGAGAGTTGGTTGTGTAAATTTGGACAGGCTGGTAGGGGCCCCAGTTCATTTCTTTGCCCAGGGGCCCATGATGCTCTTAAGACAGCCCTGGACTAAAACCTGCTGTCGGCTGATTTCACAGAGCCTGTTCAGAGTCTGAATAGATCCTGACCATATGGTCGAGATTCACCCAGAATCCTGGACTGCCGCCGGTGATCGGCTAAGAGCCTAAGCCATCCAGTGAGCGCTGGAGGGTCAGAGCAAAGAACCGGAGACTGACAGTCACAGCTCTCTACTCAGAGCAGAGGGGAGAACTGAGAGATCAGTGGTGTTTGAGTATAAACGTTTTCTTTTAAAGATCACACTTCTCTTTTAATGTAACATTCATATTCTTACCATGTAAAGTACTGAAAAAAGTTTTAAGAACTGCTGATGGAGAAGGATTAGAACATCTGTCAAGTTTTTTTTATTGTTGTCTGTGCCCTGCATCAGTCCACTTAACACTTCATTAGGTGGCCATGCACGGTATTCATCAAACATGGCGGATATGTATATTAGGCATGGGTGCCAAACACTCATTATTTGATGGATAATAGAGCCGATTATATGAAAATTGCATACTTACTGTATGTAATGCAGGCCTTATGCAAGTACATCTCCTCTCTAGGTCATGCAGTATCCACATACCTGTTTGCCTTGAAAGATTGAGGTGGAACATATATAGTCTAATTATCTGTAGGCAGTGGCGTCCTGAGGGGGTGCACGCCGCAGCGGGTGACACCTACTGCACGGGGTGACAATGGACCTGCTCCATGAATAGGTAAGTTGTAAAGCAAGCTGACGATCCCCGCAGGATGGATCCGATCCATCCTGCAGGGATCGTCGGCTTTCTTTGCAACTTACCTTTTCGTGGGGCGGGTCCAGGGGCAGACTGACAACTCATGGGGCCCCCAGGCAATAGGGGATCATGGGGCCCCTTTGTCCTTGCCCAAACTCAAAAAAGCCTATGAAAAAGGTACCGGGGTATTTCATGGGGCCCCCTACTGACCCCGGGCCCTCGGGCAGTGCCCGAGTTTCCAAATGGTCAGTCCGCCCCTGGGCGGGTCCGGTGTCACCCCATATAGGCTGCATGCTGACGATCCCTGCAGATGGATCAGATCTGCGGATTGGGGAGCATAATGGATCGGAGTCTGATCCATTATGCCCAATCTGCAGATCCGATCCATTCTGCGGGGATCGTAGGAGGGGGTGTCACCAAGTGTTATCGCACCGGGTGACACCAACCCTAGGAACGCCCCTGCCTGTTGGAAAGGTCCAAAATGGCCTTTCTCTACAGGTAATCTACCCTGTGCATGGGCATTGTACGTCACCATTGTACAAAATACTATTCAAGTATAATTAAAAGGAATTACTTTTTTTTTTTAGTTTTGGATAGAGTGGACAGAGATATAAGAACACCTGTCAAGTTTTCTTTATTGCTGTCTGTGCCCCCGATAGAGATTCACACTCTCTATTTGTCCTGTTTACCAGTGAAAGTGAAAGAAAATCCCAATCTTTGTGTGGTCACCAGAACATCAATATAAGGAAAATATTATTTCCGTTTCCGCCACCCCCCTTCGCCAATCCCTCCACTGGCTTCCAATTGATCAAATTCAAAATGCTAACACTGACGTACAAAACTGTTCATAATACTGCCCCAAACTACATCACCGACCTGATTTCCAAATACCACCCAAAACGCACTCTCCGCAACTCACAAGACCTCCTTCTCTCTAGTTCCCTGGTCTCCTCCTCCATGGCCGCCTCCAGGACTTCTCCAGGGCATCACCCATCCTCTGGAACTCCCTACCCCAATCCATCAGACTATCACCTACTCTCCTCTCCTTTAGGCGCACCCTGAAAACCCACCTCTTCAGGGAAGCATACCCCGCCCCCTGCTAATTGCTGACCTCCTCCACTCTTCCTACCACTCCATCCCCCACAGCTATCTCCTCCTGTGCCACCATCCCCTCCCTCCTAGATTGTAAGCTCCAAGGAGCAGGGCCCTCGATCCCCTCGTGTATCGCATTGTATTGTTATTGTACTGTCTCATGTATTGTCTCCCATTGTAATGTACAGCGCTGAGCGAACTATTGGCGCTTTATAAATACTGTATAATAATAATAATATTCTAATGGGGACACTAGTTCTGGTGACCACCAGGGATTCCCTCACTTTGGAATGATTTCCTCTCACTTCCTGTGGCTATGGAAAAAGAAGTGAAGAGAAATCTCTCTAATGAGGCACAGATGGCAAAACAAAAAAACCTGACAGAGATTATAACCCTCCCTAACTTTACCTGAAATGGAAAATACGTTTTGTCTTTAGTTTTACTTTAACCATCAGTGTCTGGGTTCCACTTAGGCTGGATTTCCCATGTTATTCCTGCTATCCTTTCATCCTTTCATTTAAATACCTCTTTATTCTTTCTCAGGTTACAGAAGCTCCGGTTCTAACACTCAAGTCATCTTCCATATCTCAGGGAAAGTGATGGCTGCTTGAGGAGCACAGACTCTCAGATCTCCTTCATCAGCAGCATGCAGGCCACATAATTAGATTGCTATCCTTGAGAGACTGTTACCAAAAGATAGGAATTCAGAATTTTATGGCTTGATCCTAGAGTAGATGTAAATTTTCTGATCCGGGTTTTAATGATACATATCCAGAGGAGACGTGATAACTGTGCTGCTGATTAGGCAGTGCTGCTTGAATATCTTTTACCTTAGCTTGGTGTGCCTCCGATATCAATAACGGTCCATCTATCCTCCTGGCCCCATCTATCAATAGTCTACATTATGTAAAAACCTGTGCGCTCAGCACAGTCACCAAGTCAAGCTTTCAGAGTGTAGAGATCCTGCTGTGACCACAGACAGGGAATTATGTAAATTGGAAAACTGCATACAATTACATTTAATATGCAATACGTCATGTGTATGTAATCGTGTTCTGAATATACAGTCTGCTCATCCAGATCCATTTACAGCTGGGGCTCTACACTGTTTTAAACCATACAAACCACATATGTAACTATAGCCATAGCAGACAATGTAGTTGCTAATGGACCCAAATACACAGAGGACCCAGAGATATCCATGTACACAGTAATTTATGCAGGTGACAACAGCACTGGCAAATCCATTACAATGCTTGGGAACATCTATATCAGACATTCTCAACCAGGATTCTGTGGAACCTTAAGGTTCTTTCAAAACTTGCTAGGTTTCCTTGAACTGTGGCCAATTAACCTCCCATTTGATAGTGCTTACATAGTTATGGGGCCCATGCTACATGGCAGAGTCAGCAGCTTACCGTTAATTAACTTTCTAGCTATCTGTATGGGTGGTATTCTGATCACTACTGTAAGGGGCCTTCTTACTACTGGCCACCGACATAGAGGGGATTCTTCCTACTGGCCACCAATGTAAGGTGCATTTTTCCTACTGGCCACAAATGTAAGAGACATTCTTCCCACTGGCCACCAATGTAAGGGGCATTCTTCCCAATAGCCACCAACTTAAGAAGCATTTTTCCTACTGGCCTCCAATTTAATAGACATTTTTCCTACTGGCAACAAATGTAAGGAGCATTCTTCCTACTGGCCACCAATGTAAGAGACATTTATGCAGGTAACAAAAGCACTGGCAAATACATTAACATGCCACTGGCCAATAATGTAAGGGACATTTTTCCTACTGGATACCAATGTAAGGGGCATTTTTCCATCTGGCCACCAATGTACGGAGCATTCTTCCCACTGGCCACCAATGTAAGGGACATTCTTTCTACTGGCCACCAATGTAAGGGACATTCTTCCTACTGGTCACAAATGTGAGGGGCATTTTTCCATCTGGCCACCAATGTAAGGGGCATTTCTCCTACTTGCCGCCAATGTAAGCAACATTTTTCCTGCTGGCCACCAATGTAAGGGATATTATATCCACTGGCCACCAATGTATAGGGCATTCTTCCTACTGGCCAGCAACGTAAGGGACATTCTTCCTACTGGCCACCAATGTAAGGGGCCTTTTTTCTACTGACCACCAATGTAAGGGACATTCTTCCTACTGGCCACAAATGTAAGGGGCATTTCTCCTACTTGCCACCAATATAAGGGACATTTTTCCTACTGGCCACCAATATAAGGGATATTATATCCACTGGCCACCAATGAAGGGCATTTTTCCCACTGGCCACCAATGTATGGGGCATTCTTCCTACCGGCCACCAATGTAAGGGGCCTTTTTCCTACTGGCCACCAATGTAAGGGGCATTCTTCCTACTGGCCACCAATGTAAGGAACATTTTACCTACTGGCCACCAATGTAAGGGGAATTCTTCTTACTGGCCACCAATGTAAGGGGCATTGTTCCTACTGATCCCCCAATGAACTGGATTTAGCAGAGGTTCCCCAATACCTAAAAATAACTTCAAAGTTTCCTCAGGGGTAAAAAGGTTGAGAAAG